AGCTGATAAATGCACCAGTAATCTCCCTTTATGTGCTACAATAGTATGGGTACTACAGTTAAAACTGCATGTTATCTTCTATGTAATTTGAATATCTCCCACTTCATGCCAAATACAATTATTTTTTGTATCTAAATAGACTCATTCTAACCCAGTTTTCAATACCATGATGGATATTAGGTATCAGGGAGGCACATAAAACCATTAACAGACTCCATTTAGGAAAACTCATTTATCATTTTAAACATGCTGGTTACTGAAAACAAAAGGCATATGCCTAATCATATACATACAGGATTTTACATAGTTCATTTCCATTTCAAATCAAATTTATGAAACAGGGGTTTGAATTTTCATTTTTACTAGGCCTCTTATTATAAAGAGCTAAAATTAAAAAAATAACAACATAACAAAATAAATTGTTATAAGTTTTCTATTTCTAAAATGGAAATGAATTCAGGATCCATTTTATCAGACGACCAAAATTATTTTTGAATATTGCATAAAAGATGCCTTTATGGGTAATTAATTTCCCCCATTAGTAGGCTATATATCTGTCATCTTAAAGTTTGCGACAAATTACTGATTTGTAAGAAAAAGTAGGACATGCAAGTATATTCTGCAATCATGCTGCGAATTTAATAGAGGATATCTAATGGTTTCCGTTGGATACCAGATATATTTTTGCACAAGCATGCAAAATAAGTATACCAATAATGAAAATATCTGAAATTTCTGCCAATTGTAAGCAAGGGTTTGATAAAATTTAACTCTATTTTACCCATTTGGAACCACTCCTCTGCCCCCAGGGGTTAGGGAAGGGGGCATACACTCTGCTAAAGAGTCACACTCACACTCACACTCAATACAGCATTGAGTCATTTTGGCACAAGGATGCTTCAGTTCAAGTTAAGTTTTTTGTTAAATCTTTTTATTCAATACTAAAGAGGGAAGGGTCAAAGGTTCTAAGATTAACCCCATTTCCCTTATTGGGCCCTATTCCTCTGTCGCGAGAGAAGGGAAGAGGGGAGCAAACCCTTTGCAGCCCAATAATGCACTAAACAAAATTCAATCAAAATCCAATATGCTATTCTTGACTTGTAGTGATTTAAAGGAATTTGTCATACGGATAACAGATGGAGGGATGGACACTCTGGACAGCATATTATGTCATAAGCTCACATGGCCTTTCCTTTTAATAATCTGAAAACTTCAATACTTCATTTATACATACTTCTTTACCAAAATACTGTACTATTTTCGTTCTTCTAATTGTGTTTTGTCTTTAATTTTAACACCTTGAGGATTGGTTCATAAACACACGAGCCACGGAGTACACCTGCACCGATTCTCTCCCGCTCAATCTGTGTTCCTCATTAAATAAACCAAGAGTATGTTAACATCCCAGAAAACCACTCTCTAACTGAACAGATAAAGTTGGTAAATTCATAGAAAAGTTAGCTTACACTTTAAATGATGATGTCAACTCTGGAATTAGAATTTAACAAACTGTTCTCAGGCTAACAGACTTATGAAACCAGGTTGTTTAATATATCGACAGTTAGAATTATTACCCAATAGTCTATATAAATCATAATTAGTCATTTTTGACTGTTTCTGGCTTTATGCCCAATTTCAGCTGTAGGGGTGAAACAGTCAAAACTGTAAAAGGGCAATTAATCTACATATAAGAGGATTTGGAGAAATGCTAATTCAATACTTTAATGACATTTCCTTTATGTAAGGTAAGGGCTCTGAGCACCAATTGTAAATATCACTAAATCAGTGGCGTTCATTGGAGGGAGTACAAGCGCAAACAACCTTTTTAAAACAAAGGGGCAAAACTCCTTAATAAGGGGAAGTAACTCAAATCTATATACTTTATTCACATCCTCTCTATGTAAGGGGTCTATAAACCAAGTATCATTAAATCAGTGCAGGACTTGGGAGCAGTTGTGTAAACAATGTTTTTTTAAAGGAGGGGCATTACATAAATGTCATAAGTAGGGGTCCGGTAGCCCTATTTCCTTCCTTGCCACAGCCATAATATTCCAACTGATGCTGCAGATCAATTTTGTTTTTATGTGTCCTTTATAATAATCAAGCAGAAAACATAGATAATTCTTGATTTTGCAGGGGGCCATATATTGGTTCCCTAATACGATCATGCAGTGGGAAACAACAGGCCAACTTCCATTTTCCATATCTAAGCTCAGTACAACGCAAACAATAGTTGGAACACATTTTCTTTTTTAAATTGTGAATTCATGAAAAGTGACTTGTTTGTTTTCCATGACAATTTTAACACTTCATTATCACTTCAAGCAGACAACAACAGCTACTAAACAAATGAGTAAAGTACAATCTCATCCATAAGGATATGTATAACAGATAATGTTCTAGGAGACGTATAAGTACATTTGTATATTATGGAGTCCAACATCTATTAATATTGAGTCCAACATCTATTAATGTTGAGTCAAACATCTATTAATATGGGGTCCAACATCTATTAATATGGAGTCCAACATCTATTAATATGGAGTCCAGCATCTATTAATATAGAGTCCAACATCTATTAATGTTGAGTTAAACATCTATTAATATGGAGTCCAACATCTATTAATATGGAGTCCAACATCTATTAATGTTGAGTCAAACATCTATTAATATGGAGTCCAACATCTATTAATATTGAGTCCATCATCTATTAATATAGAGTCCAACATCTATTAATATGGGGTCCAACATCTTTTAAAATGGTGTCCAACATCTATTAATATGGGGTTTAACATCTATTAATATGGAGTCCAACATCTATTAATATAGAGTCTGACATCTATTAATATGGAGTCCAACATCTATTAATATAGAGTCCAACATCTATTAATATGGAGTCCAACATCTATTAATATGGAGTTCAACATCTATTAATATGGGGTCCAACATTTATTTAATATAGAGTCAAACATCTATTAATATGGGGTCCAACATCTATTAATATAGAGTCAAACATCTATTAATATGGAATACAACATTCATTTAATATGGGGTCCAACATCTATTAATATGGGGTCCAACATCTATTAATATTGAGTCAAACATCTATTAATATGGAGTCCAATATCTATTAATAATTTTGAGTCCAACATCTATTAATTTTGAGTCCAACATCTATTAATATGGAGTCCATCATTTATTAATATGGAGTCCTCAATTAATGTTGAGTCCAACATCTATTAATGTTGAGTCCAACATCTATTAATATGGGGTCTAACATCTATTAATATGGGGTCCAACATCTATTTAATATGGGGTCCAACATCTATTAATATGGAGTCCAGCATCTATTAATATAGAGTCCAACATCTATTAATATGGAGTCCAACATCTATTCATATTCAGTCCAACATCTATTAATATGGAGTTCAACATCTATTTAATATGGGGTCCAACATCTATTAATATGGTGTCTAACATCTATTAATATGGGGTCCAACATCTATTAATATGGGGTCCAACATCTATTTGATATGGGGTCCAACATCTATTTAATATGGGGTCCAACATCTATTAATATGGAGTCCAACATCTATTTAATATGGGGTCCAACATCTATTTAATATGGGGTCCAACATCTGTTAATATGGAGCCCAACATCTATTAATATGGGGTCCAACATCTTTTTGATATGGGGTCCAACATCTATTTAATATGGGGTCCAACATCTTTTTGATATGGGGTCCAACATCTATTTAATATGGGGTCCAACATCTTTTTGATATGGGGTCCAACATCTTTTTGATATGGGGTCCAACATCTATTTAATATGGGGTCCAACATCTTTTTGATATGGGGTCCAACATCTATTTAATCTGGGGTCCAACATCTTTTAATATGGAGTCCAACATCTATTTAATATGGAGTCCAACATCTATTTAATAGTTTGATGACTTAAGACTTACACATGTACAGTACATATATATAGGATCTTACATGAGTTTTCATGATTATTTCATATGAGATTTATGAAACGAGTCTAAGATAATTTCAATTAATGAGCCTCTGGCGAGCTAAAATGAAAATTTTGTGACGAGTTTCATCAATTTCATATGAAATGAAAACGAGCGTAAGATCCTTTTTATCCTATACTCAAGGTTTGTGGCATTTATTGTGTAAATCGACAATTTTCATGCAACCTTGAAAAGTAAAATGCCGCCATTTTGACTCCAGTACGTCAGTCTATGACGTTATGTACTTGTCCTAGGCATGACGTCACAATTGAATCAATTGAAGCTTACAACAATCACAGGGCTGATAGGTCATATTACATGGGTAATAATACGCAAACAAATATGACACGGGTATGTCCCACTGGATAACACAGTACATTATGTGATAAATGTTGATCATGACTATACTGTACTATATACAGTAAGTAAATTGATGGTCACATCTTAGTATATAGATATGGTTGGTACATGTACAACATACATAATTATTCTGTTGTGTATTTTTTTGCCCCATTTATAAGTATTAGTAAATGACATACTCACATAACTATCTATGTAGTGTATATATACGTGTACATGTAAATTATGAGTTCCATATGTAATCTTTTACAAATGACACAAAAATACGAAATATTTACATAGAATATATATGTATATATATATATATGTAAATCATGAGCCCCATATGTAAACATATACAAAAACAGCACAGCTACACAATATATATATACACACATCTATATATACAACTTTGTACATATGTACCTGCAAAATGAGCCCAATATGTAAACATTACATAAATGGATGACAGCTCATACTTATATGTAAACATACGCAAACGGATGACCAGACATATACATGACAACTTCATCATAAATTAACACCATCTGGTCAATGAAACACATTGATGTCGACACTACTAGACAAACCCAGCCAAACCAAAAATAGATCATTTCACTTGGAGAAAGTATCTAAATGACTTCCTACCTAACCTCTTCGAGTAGCAGTGGCATCAACAGGTTTAGTTTGCATTTCCTCGAACATTCCTCACACAGTAACTCTCCATGTATAATCCAGAGTAAGACTCAGTCTGCTGCTAGTGCATAGAGCTATAAGCTGCAGCGTAGTGGAAGGCTGATGTGATGATGCTACGGATGCTGGAGTTAGACTAGCCGTAGCCCAGAGCCAAGCTCTGTGAGTGCTGGCTGCGGCGGTACGGAGCCTAATTAACATAGACTGATATTTTCTTCGGCAAATCAATACAAGCTTTTACTATCAATGAAAACTTACTGGCCTCTCTCCGTAGCATGTAGGGAGTTTCTATTGATTAAAACTCTGATTTGGTATCAGCCTGCGTTCTGATCACTGTACAGATTTTCAAACCTTAACATACATGTATATAAATATATTACAACAGCAGTAAATTTATCCTTACGGACGAGGAATAATATAAAAAGAACATATCTTATTAACACGTCTTTAGCATTTTCATCTCATCAAGGCGATTCTTCAGAATTATTATTGAGAGATCATTTTTTATATATCAATATAATATATAATCTATACCATGAGGAAAGATATTAAGGCACTCATTAACAATAAAAAAAAAAAAATTGAAAGAACAAAAACCAATTATCAATCAATTAGACAATAAGAGATAGATGCAATACAAAAAAAGAAGAAGATTTTTTGGAGTATTTCAAATTATGAACATAGAAACTAGAACACTGACAGGTCAGTAAGGGATCCGTCTTGTGGCAATGTATCCCCCATAATCATCAAGAAGCAATCTACCCTTATAGCTGAGCTTGACTATTGACATTTGGACTTCAAAAAGAATCGCAAGGAAGCAAAATATACATTTTACATGTACTATGATGTGAGTCTTGTTTCCTTCCACCTCCATATTTGCTGGGCTAACAGAAATGTAAATACCGGTGCAATACTCATTTGTTAGCTTTGATTTGTTTTATTTCACCTTATATACCTCCAGCTCCTCCATCAAGAGCCAGGGTCAAAGTCAGAGATCCACTTTGTCTTTGACCTTTGGACCCAAATGACCTTGACCATTAACCCAGTGACCCTGATCTTTGGTCAGTTGACTTATTCTTTAATTCCAACCAACTTTGTTTGCTTCATAATATCATGACAAAATGTTCATCAGTGAAAAATACAAAACTTGACCTTGACCCTTTGGACCCCGTAACCTGGACCTTGACAGTTGACTCTGTGTTAAGTTCTGAACAATTTTGCCACATAATAACATAAAATGACCTTGACCTTACGTCAGTTGACTCCTTTTTAAATTCGGACCAACTTTGCTTGTGAAAGATACAAAAATTGACCTGGACCTTTGACCCAGTGACCTTGCCCTTTGGTCAAATGACTCCTTGTTTAATTCCCACAAACATTGCTTCAAAGTGTCGCAATGAAATGTTCACCAGCAAAAAAATACTAAATTTTACCTTCACCTTTGACCGAGTGACCTTGACCTTAAGTCAATTGACTCCTTGTTTAATTCTGACCAACATTGCTGCATAATGTCATAAAAAAAATAACCTTCACCTTTGACCCAGTAACCTTGACCTTTGGTGAATTGACTCCTTGTTTAATTCTGAGGAACATTGCTTCAAAGTGTTATACCAAAATGTTCACCAGTGAAAAAATACAAAATTTAACCTTGACCTTTGACCCAATGACCTTGACATTAGGTCAGTTTGACTCCTTGTTTAATTCTGATCAACTTTGCTTCATCATGTCATAACAAAATGTTCATCAGTGAAAAGATGCAAAAGTTGACCTTGACCTTTGAATCAAACGACCTTAACCTTTGACCTCAACTTTCTACCTCAGTGTGTCTCTTTGATTAATTCCGAACAACTTTGCTTCATGTCATAAAATGCTCATTAGTTAAAAGCTACAAAATCTGACCTTGACCCCTGACCCGATGACCTTGACCTTTGGTTAGTTGACTCCTTGGTTAATTCTGAGCACCATTGCTTCAAAGTGTCATACCAAAATGTTCATCGGTGAAAAGATGCAAAATTTGACCTTGACCTTTGAACCTAATGACCTTGACCTTTGACCTTGTCTTTAATCTCGATGTGTATTTTTTTTAACTGAACATCTTGACCAAGTTTCATGTACATCGGTCAGTAAATACCAAAGTTATCAGCCAGGAACAACATTTGTGGACGGACAGACAGACAGACAGACAGACGGACAGACAGACAGACAGAGTGATTACTATAGGGCACCCGTATCTATGATACGGGGTCCTATTAATACAATTCCTCCCATAAGAATTAACAAGAGGCCCATGCAGCCTTTAAATGCTCATATGAGTTCAAATCGAAAATGTCTCAGCCAATCAGGTGCCACAGTGACCATCTTGGATTTATAATTACATGTCAGCATGAACAGTAATAACACTTGCTTGGGACATCACAAGGAACATTTATACCAAGTTTGGAGTTGACCAGTGCTTGCTTGGGACATCACAAGGAACATTCATACCAAGTTTGGAGTTTACCAGTGCTTGCTAATTGGGACATCACAAGGAACATTCATACCAAGTTTGGAGTTTACCAGTGCTTGCTAATTGGGACATCACAAGGAACATTTATACCAAGTTTGAAGTTGACCAGTGCTGCAGTTCCAGAAAAAATTGAAAATGTCTTCACCAATAAGGGAACAGGGTGGCCATCATCAATTTTTAGATTGGCACAAAAAGTGAGAAGGCTTGTAAGGGACCTCATCAGGAAATTTGTACTAAACTTGTAGTCAATCACTTCATTTATTCTTTCTAAGTTAAAAATGTCTTAGCCAATCAGGACACCATGGTGGCCATCTTTGTTCCAGATTAGCATGAAGTCTTGATTGAGACATGATAAAAAAAATTTGTCAATCAGTTCAATGGTTCTAAAGAAGAAGTAGAAAACATAAATTGTTAATAAAATGCAGGTCAGATGATGCAGGGCAACAAATGATACCATCTCGTGAGTTCAAAATCAATTTATATACAAATCTAGAATGTATATATATCAACCTGACAGTTGTCTTTGTTTGAATTTGTTTTTCAATATATTACACTTAAATTATTACTATTTTTACTTCAATAATATCATCTTTAAGCCATTTAGTAAATCTTACAACCAAAAAGACAATCTTTGAAAGTCATAATCATTAGTTTTTCAAAACATTACCTCAAATATATTTACACATCAACATCACCTCTATCATATATACACAACACCATCACCACCATTATATATACACTACATCATCATCACCTCCATTATATATATACACTACATCATCATCATCTCCATTATATATATACACTACATCATCATCACCACCATTATATATATACTACATCATCACATCAATTATATATACACTACATCATCATTACCTCCAATATATATACACTACATCATCATCCCCTCCATTATATATATACTACATCATCACATCAATTATATATACACTACATCATCACCTCCATTATACATATACTACATCATCATCACCTCCATTATATATATACACTACATCATTATCACCTCCATTATATATATACTACATCATCACATCCATTATATATACACTACATCATCATCATATCCATTATATATACACTACATCATCATCACCTCCAATATATATATACACTACATCATCATCACCTCCATTATATATATATACTACATCATCATCACCTCCATTATATATATACACTACATCATCATCACCTCCATTATATATATACACTACATCATCATCACCTCCATTATATATATACTACATCATCACCTCCATTATACATATACTACATCATCATCACCTCCATTATACATATACTACATCATCATTACCTCCATTATATATACACTACATCATCATCACCTCCATTATATATATACTACATCATCATTACCTCCATTATACATATACTACATCATCATCACCTCCATTATATATATACTACATCATCATTACCTCCATTATATATACACTACATCATCATCACCTCCATTATATATATACTACATCATCATCACCTCCATTATATATACACTACATCATCATCTCTTCCATTATATATATACACTACATCATCATCTCTTCCATTATATATATACACTACATCATCCCTATCTCCATTATATATACACTACATCATCATCACCTCCATTATATATATATACTACATCATCATCACCTCCATTATATATATACACTACATCATCATCTCTTCCATTATATATGTACTATATCATCACCTCCACTATATATATATACTACATCATCATCACCTCCATTATATATATACACTACATCATCATCACATCCATTATATATACACATCATCATCTCTTCCATTATATATATACACTACATCATCATCTCTTCCATTATACATATACACTACATCATCATCTCTTCCATTATATATATACACTACATCATCCCTATCTCCATTATATATACACTACATCATCATCCCCTCCATTATATATATACACTACATCATCATCATATCCATTATATATATATACACTACATCATCGCCTCCATTATATATATACACTACATCATCATCATATCCATTATATATATATACACTACATCATCACCTCCATTATATATATATACTACTTCATCATCTCTTCCATTATATATATACACTACATCATCATCTCTTCCTTTATATATATACACTACATCATCCCTATCTCCATTATATATACACTACATCATCATCCCCTCCATTATATATGTACTATATCATCACCTCCATTATATATACACTACATCATCATCACCTCCATTGTATATACACTACATCATCATCATGCTCACCTCCATTATATATATACACTACATCATCACCTCCATTATATATATATACTACTTCATCATCTCTTCCATTATATATATACACTACATCATCATCACATCCATTATATATACACTACATCATCATCATATCCATTATATATACACTACATCATCACTACCTCCATTATATATATACACTACATCATCATCACATCCATTATATATACACTACATCATCATCATATCCATTATATATACACTACATCATCACTACCTCCATTATATATATACACTACAT